TGATGTTATTTTAATTATGTTTTTAATTTATTAGAAGAGAAAAATAGAATCAAATTTATTTTGATGATTTATTTAAAAGAGAAAAATAGAATCAAAATTTATTTTGTCTCTTGCTTCTCACCTAAACATTTATCCCAAATGTTGTTAGAATGTATTTAATATTTGATTAAATCAGGAGTTTCAAAACAGCCCAAAACAAAGTTCAAACAACCCAGCACAGCAGCAATTCAAAAGGTTCAAGTGAGATATTTAATGATGGAGTGGAAGATATTTCAAATATAGTAATAAGAATACAACAGTGTATAAACGGCTATTAAATTCAAATGAATACAACGGCATAAATTCATTATTATACCAAAGCTTCTAATATAAATAAGTTACAAAAACATCAAAAATATTCTTTGATCTATAATTACTCACATCTATTTCTCTGGAAAAAATTCTCTAAGAAGTGTTATTCAATTTTTGTTTACATCCTCTTTTAGAAATTATACACTGAGCCTTATAGCATTAAGTTCATCTTTCTTGTGTGAGGTTTACGAAAATCCAAAAGCTTTATTTTATATCTATCTTTTGAGAGATAATTCTTATAGCTTTTCTGTGGAAGCAAAAACAACTTCTTTCAACCTTGTAAGAGTGCAGTACACTCAGTGTTCTTGACTTAGAAAGTCTGTGTAAAATTCGTGGAGGATTGCTCCATTTGTAAAGAGGTGCTAACACCCCTATGAAGCTAGAGCATAGTGGAATCTCAAGTGAAACTTGAGGAGTGGACGTAGGCCGAGTTGAAGTCGAACACTTATAAATTGTTTTGCGCCTCTCTCCCTTATCTCTTTATTTTATTTAAATTGCCATAGCTATATTTCACATTTTCACTGTTGCTAAAATCATTAACTGACATAGTTGTTTAGAACACATTTTTTTAATTATTTTATTTCATTAACTATATTTATCTATTGGCTAGTCATAATTTTTATTAGGCTATTATTATTTTTATTTATAAAAACCTAATTCACCCCCTTCTTAAGTTGTCTTTTGGGGTAACAAAGAAAATAAAATAAAAATATAGACACACACATTACATCAATGTGGGCCCTATTCCTTGGCACATCACTAGAATTCTATTCAGAACTCCAAATAAAGCTCTCAATCTTTTCATAAGATACAAAATGAATACTTAGACTTTACTATTTAAGATATCAAGATTATGTACAAAACTTATTGTATTTTATGTTTTTGGTGGGACAAAATGGAGGGAAAAATACTCCCTGTACCATTTTGTTTCTCTATTATTTCATTTTTGAATGTTTCAAAGATATGTGAATTATCTTCTTGAATATAATGACACTTTTTGTAACAAAAATATTTGGTCTCTAAAAAATAGTTTTGTACAACTACAACATTTTCTTAATTTAGTGACATTTGAAAGTGCCACAAAACTATTCTTTTAATGACATTTTTTAGTATTGTGGCATTCCAACCATTCTTATCATTTCTCTCTCCAAGTCCCTTCGCTTGTCTTCGTTGTTGTTGAGGCCACCACGTGGCAGGGTCCACTTTTTTGGGGAATTTGTCGAGCATCACGCCTAGTAAAGGAAGCGGGTAGGCCTTGTCAAGTGCCAAAACTTTCTTCATCGCATCCTTAACTTGTTTATTGGATGGATTTCCAATACATATTGTTGTGTGAATTTCTTCGCGAATTTGCTTAAATAACCTTGCAGCGTTTCGTTGCTCTTCAGCGAGTTGCGATGGTTGAAGTTTATTCATGATCAACAACATCCCGGTAGCTGCCAAATAGAGCAAAGTGGAAGAGAGCTTTAGCTCCGCAAGAGGGCCACTGCCACTTGCAATTGTAGTGGCTGCAATACCAGCCATTGTTGAAGCTGTGAGAGTGATTGCATTAATGGATGTTAAGAGTAGGCTATTCCAGTTGCTTCTCTGCTCTCCAACATTCTTATGCATCTCCACTCTATCATCAACAGCCTCCATGATCGCGTACAGCTTCGCTATCGCCACGGGATCTGAAACCTTAGAATCATATTTGGGAGAAGTCTTGGGACTATTGCTAGGAGATTTGGGAAGTTTTTGAATATGGGTAGTGGTCGTGTTTGTGTAACCACTATTTGTCAATTTCAATTGCTCCACCAAATCTCTAGTTGTGAGGTTGGGAAGAGAGAAAGTACTATTCTGAATCTTTGGCATGTTGATAGTAGCTCTGATGATTTCTCTTCGGCAACACGAAGATGAGGAAATTGATGATGAACTCATCGAACTTGAAACTCGAAAAGTGGCCTTGTTTAGTCTTTAGAAGATTGGATCGGTAGGCAAATCTATCAACTATTGAATGGTAAAAAGAAGTTGGTAGTATGAATATCTCTTGTTGCTTATTTGGGTATTGATGAGTTTATAGGATTTGAAGAGTGTAGAGTGAATTGAAATGGAGAAGTGTTACGTGGTGTATGTATAGAGGTTGGAGTTCAACACTTTTGAACGGGCACAAAGTTTAGACCATTTCCTAGCCTTTGGATTTTCTGAGCTTACCATTTGAGAAACCGTTTGTTTGACTTTTACCAAGACTGACCTTGAAATGGCCAAACAAACCAAAAGCTGACATGCCCCTTTGGCTTTTTCCATACACAATTTAACATTAATGACAACCGGATCGTATGCAAAATTATCAACTTTAATATAGTTTCGTACCATATTAATCACAACGCGACCACATAACCATGCAAATTTTGTATTTTTGTACATTTTATAGTTTTGTCATTTAAGATTCACTACAACATATAAGAGTTTTAGAGACCAAATATTCTGGTCTTTGAAAGTGAAAATTTTGTAATAAAAGATATTTAGGGACCAATTTTTATCGTCTTGAGGAAAGTCGCTAAAAAATTGTTCTGAAAAGTCAAAAATATAACAAAATTTTGAAAATGTCACTAATAAATAAACTTTTAAATACAAAATAATTTGATTTCAAAATGGTTTATTTTTTGAGATAAAATTTGGTCTCAAAAGGATAATAATTCATCACTAATGCCCAATTTTTGTTGTTAAAAATAAAATGACACTTTTCGCAACAAAATTATTTGGTCCGTAAAAAATAATTTTGTCCCTAAATTTTGGTCTTTAAAACTAAAATTTTTTGTAGTGATTTAACGTATAAGAGTTTTAGAGACTAAATTTTTTGGTCTCTAAAAGTGAAAATTTTGTTACAAAATACATTTAGAGACAAATTTATATCATCGTGGGGGTAGTTGCTAAAAGGTCGTCCCAAAAAGTCAAAAATAAGACTTTTAGCAACAAAATTATGTAAAAATGTCACTAATAAATAAACTTTTAGGAATAAATTAATTTGCTCTATAAATGGTTTTTTTTTTTAGACAAAAAATTTGGTCCCAAAATGATAATAATTCATCACTAATGTTCAATTTTCATAATAATGACACTTTTTGTAACAAAAATATTTGGTCTCTAAAAAATAGTTTTGTACAACTACAACATTTTCTTAATTTAGTGACATTTGAAAGTGCCACAAAACTATTCTTCTAATGACATTTTTTAGTCTTGTGGCATTTTGAACAAGTGTCATTTATACCCGTGTCACAATAGATACTTGCAAGTGCCACTACACCATTATGGCTAAAAACTTTCAATAACATTTTGATGTCATGATTAGATACTATTTATGACACTATCAAGCGCCATTAAAAAAATAGATACTGACACTTCTAAGTGTCATTATACCATCAAGGCTACACACTTTCAGTGACAGTTTAATGTCATGATAGATATTATTCGTGATGTTATCAAGTGCCATTAAAGAAGACTTGCAATTTAAAAAATGCCACTACATGGATTTTAAATGACATTTGTTATCTTAGAATTGATATAAATGCCACTAAATCCAATTCATTTGTGCCATTAAATAGATATAAAGTGACATGGGAACTTATTTTGTAGTTAAGTCCTTCTTAATTGTTAAATTTTTGTATAAAAAAAATTAAAAAAAAAACAACAACAACAACAACAAAACAAAAAAATCGTGAGGCTGATGGGTTGGTTGTATGAATGCGAGTAGCAATCGTAAGAGTATGTTATACTATCTAAATCTCTCTTGATGGATTGCATCTTCGTATACTTATAATTTCATATTTTTAATAAAATTTTCACTTTGCTGATAAAAAATATATTAAAAAAAATAAGAGTAAAAGAGCTAAATTCAAGTGTATTGATTGTATGTCGCCTTTAAAGTTAAAAGTCTCATAAGGGACTATCAAAATGAGACAAGAAGTTAAAGCATATAAAATTTAAAAGAAAATTATTCCAACCATAAGTTTTAAAAAGCCATAGTGACTTCTATCTTCCGGAGAGACAAATTATCAAAACAAAATCAGTTCCCCAAACTCTCAACTTACTTTTATAAATATTCTCGGCTAGCATCCATAAGTTGCGAAATCTGCCACTATAGCCTTATATATAGCCAGTCATTTCTGCTTTTCAACATGTTGTGCTAATAGACTCAAACAACACATGGCAAATGCTATATGAAACATAGTGGACTTATTTAATTTTCTGAATAATATATATATGCCCATTAACCCTCCATTTACATTGAATATATGAATGGAGTTAATTAACAATTTACGGTCAAAAACTACAAACAACTAGAGTTAGTGGTTACATATGTTACAAGCAGATTTGCCAAAATTAGAGAAGTTTGCTTGCAAACTCTTCCATGGCCTCCCCTTTCACTGAAGAAGAAGCTGCAAAATCCTTCAGCTCTGATAAGCTTCTACCCAACTGCAAAGCCACCTTCATTTCAAACAATTCCCCATTCTCTCTTCTCTCCACTTCTCTATCCTTCAAATTTGATTCTATGGACTCTTCCATGAGCTTAAAGAAACCAGCATTGCTTCTATACATCTCAAACACCATCCCAATTTGCCCACCATGCTCTAATGTGTTGACGATGCTCGACAAAGCACCGCCAACAACTCCAAGCACCACAGCCCATGATCCATGGCTAGGAGACCCCACAAATGCAGAACCAATAGCTGCAAGACCTGTTAGTAAAGGTCCTGAAATGGCCAAGATTTTGTTGAGTTTCAATGCCTTTTCACCCAACCTCAAGTAGTCTTCCTTGTCTTTCCTGTTCAAAACCCCAACTATCTCTCTCATTTCATCTTCCAACTTAGCATCCCAACCATTCTTATCATTTCTCTCTCCAAGTCCCTTCGCTTGTCTTCGTTGTTGTTGAGGCCACCACGTGGCAGGGTCCACTTTTTTTGGGAATTTGTCGAGCATCACGCCTAGTAAAGGAAGCGGGTAGGCCTTGTCAAGTGCCAAAACTTTCTTCATCGCATCCTTAACTTGTTTATTGGATGGATTTCCAATACATATTGTTGTGTGAATTTCTTCGCGAATTTTCTTAAATAACCTTGCAGCGTTTCGTTGCTCTTCAGCGAGTTGCGATGGTTGAAGTTTATTCATGATCAACAACATCCCCGTAGCTGCCAAATAGAGCAAAGTGGAAGAGAGCTTTAGCTCCGCAAGAGGGCCACTGCCACTTGCACTTGTAGTGGCTGCAATACCAGCCATTGTTGAAGCTGTGATAGTGATTGCATTAATGGATGTTAAGAGTAGGCTATCCAGTTGCTTCTCTGCTCTCCAACATTCTTATGCATCTCCACTCTATCATCAACAGCCTCCATGATCGCGTACAGCTGAGATCCCCCTATGGCTTTTTCCAAACACAATTTAACATTAATGACAACGGGATCGTATTCAAAATTATCAACGTTAAGCAAATTTTTAACTTATTTTAGTTCACATTATTTTTTATAATTTTTTATTTATAAAAAAATAAAATAAATTTAAAAAATTAAAAAATTAACTTTTTATTAATTTATCAAAACATAACTATATTAATCTAGACGCGACCACATGACCATGCAAATTTCATATTTTTGTACATTTTAGTTTTGTTATTTAAGATATAATATATAAGAGTTTTAGAGACTAAATTTTTTGTTCTCTAAAAATGAAAATTTTATTACAAAATATATTTAGAGACAAATTTCTATCGTTGTGGAGATAGTTGCTAAAATGTCGTCCAAAAAGGTTGAAAATAAGACTTTTAGTAACAAAATTTTGAAAATATCACTACTAAATAGACTTTTAGCGATAAAATAATGTGGTATCTAAACGGTTGATTTTTTTAGACAAAAAATTTGGTCTCAAAAGGATTGTTAGTATATTATTATACTTTGTATATAATATAGCATTGTTATAGCATTAGCTTTCGGCGCCTTTGTTATCATTGTGTTTGTTCCTTTCGGCTAAAGCATTAGCCTTGCCTTTCGGTGCCTCGCGTCTCGCATGGCATGCCCAATATCAGTCTATAAATACAGAGCTAAGCTCCCTTTGTATAAACACACAACAAATATATATACACATTTATTCATTTGCTCTCTCTCTCTATCAATTTATTTTACAAGGATAATAATTCATTACTAATGTCTAATTTTCGTTGCTAAAAATATAATAACGACACTTTTTATAACAAAAATATTTGATCTTTAAAAAATAATTTTATCCCTAATTTTTAGTTTAAAACTTTAACTTTTTGTAATAATTGTACATAATAATTTATGTGTTTATTTTATTTTTATCTTAATATAAATGTAAATTTTGTCCGCAATTTCTTGGGAATATAAATAAAAATTTGGAATTCTAAAAAAATCTCGTAAAATCTGCGTGCTTGTCTGACTTAATGTGAGAGATTGTACAGAGGATGGCAAGATGTCCTTGTCATGGGGGTGTTATGGGTTTGATTTCCCACAAATAATTTTAACCAGTATCTTCGGTTTAAGTTTTTTAGATTAATCTTTTTAAAAATTAATTTTTTTAATTTTTATATTTTTTGTTTTTAATGAACATTTTTAAAATTTTAAATATTTTTTTTTTACTTTTTTAGAAGCACCTTACTTAGATGTATCTAAAAAGTAAAAAAATTTGTGAAAAAATATTTTAAAAAATTAATAAATACATAATAATATAAAAAATGTACTAAATTCTTGTATTTTTTTTTTGTATTTTTGGTATTTAATGAATTTTTAAAAGACTTTTTTTTAAATTTTTTTACTTTTTAGGTATATTTATGTTAGGTGTGTCTAAAAAGTAAAAAAAAAATTACTTAAAATATTAAAAAAATTCAGTAAAAATAAAAAAACATGAAAAATAAGAAAGTAGAATTTTCTTAAAAGTGTTTTTTGAAAAGTGAAAACAAACAAGATGAATATTTCTCTTTCTAGCATTTATCAAATTAAAGAAAAAGAAAATGAAAAAGAAAATAAAATAACTTATACTTATTTATTTATTTATTTTGTTTTATAGAAAAATGCTCTTTTGTTTGATAATATGACTCAGTTCTTAAAACTGAAAGTATTAATTGATAAGCAATTAAACACATTTGATAATCATAATTGATATTACTTAAAAAATTAAATGCCTCTTAAAAAATAGGTTAAATTTTAAGAAAATTTTAAGTCATATTAAACTTACTTAATTTTGACTGAATTTATAAAATACTATTATAAACTCACCGCCACTATCACCACCACCACTACCACCACCACCACCATCACTACTACTATCATCATTGAAGCCATCACTACCACTGTCGTCGCCGCCACCACCGTTATCGCTACCACTATCACCACCGCTACCACCATCTTGCTGCCACCACCACCACCGGTGTAAATTCGACAATGATTGGGAAAGAAGTGGGGTGGTGATGGATGACAATAAGAATGAGAGATGGTTGTTAATCGTGACAAAGAAAAAAAAATTGTCTGTATTTTTCCTTCTTCATTAGTTATAACTAATAGATACAAAGGATTTGTTACTGTTTTAAAAATTCAGGATTATGTATAGGACTTATTGTATTTTGGTTAAGTTTGGTGACAAAATGAGGGGAAAAAAATAATCCCTGCCTGATTTTGTCTCTCTATTATTTTATTTTTGAATGTTTCAAAATATATGTCCATTTTAAAAAGTTAAAACTTTAAATTTGAAATTTTTCAAAATTGTCTCCAGTAAGTAATTATAAATATATTTTAAAATGAGAGTAGAAGAAATGTCATGTTGATGTCATAGGTCTCTCTCTAAAATCTTCCTCTCTCTCCCTCTCTAAAAACATCCATCACAGGCCTCAGTGTTGGCCAGCCGGCCATCACCTTTGGCCATGGCGGTCGGCTGGCCTCACCTCTTTTGTGCGTGATTGTTGTTTTTCTTCTAATAAATTTGAATCCCCATAGTTTTTCCCAATATTTTTCAATTCTCTGGGGTGTTTAAGGGGTGGGGTTCAGCCTTGGGGGGGAACTTCATTCGTAATTCGAGCACTCCTTTGTGAGTGGGAATTTGAGAGGTGAATTCTATTCAAATCTACAAAGGTCAGCGTTTTGTTTGGCTAAGAAGAGGTTGTTTTGCTCAAGTACTTTGATGTAGCTCTAGTGTTCAGCGAGTTCACTCTAGAGGAAGTTGATGTTCATGGCGGTGTCTGGCGATTGTATTCTAGAGTGAGTTTTGCTGTTCAAGTATCTACAAAGGAGTTGTTTCAGCCACGGATTTGTCTTTGGCCATGAGAGGTGTTGGTGTTGGTGGTTCTCAGAAGCTTCGCCTCTATGGGAGGTGGTATGGAGGAGGTGTTTTTGAATTTGTAGTGTTTGTTTGATTTGCCATGGAAGTGGGTGTGAGTGTTCAACCAAAGGTGTTTCGTCGTGGGTGTCTTGGTATTAGAAGGAAGCTTTGGCCATGAAATGGGTGAGTTTGGCAGAGTCCGGCAGAAGTGACAAGCGTAGGTGAAGTTCGGTGGAAGTGTCAAGTGTCGTTGAAGTCCGGTGGAGGGAATAGGCGCGGGAGTGGGAGACACTGAGTTGTGCTTTAGGAGTATGTGACTATACCTTGGGAGTAGAGAAGTCTAATTTTGGGTGATTCATTGTCTAGTGCGTGGTTTGACATTGGAGTTTCATGCTTTTTGTTTTTATTTTTTTATAGTTCAGTCCCTCTTAACTATTAAATTTTTGTTTGGTCTTGTTTTGGATTTCTTTAGGTTAAAAAACATAAAAAAAAATAAAAAAATAAAATCGTGAGACTGAGGGGTTGGTTGTATGAATGCGAGTAACAGTAATAGTAGTGGGAGTATCCTGTACTGTTCAAATCTCATTCTATGCATTGCATCTTCCTGTATCTTTAATTTCATAATTTTAATGAAATTTTCACTTTGCTAAGAAAAAGAAAGAAAAAAAAATTGAGAATAGAAGAGTTAAATTCAAGTGCAATGCTTATATCTCACCTTAGAAAGTTAAAAGTCTCATAAAGGACTATCAAAATGAGACAATTTATATTTTCTTTCCCTTTTCCTTATTCTCTTCCTTTCTAAACCAAGATGAAATGTATATCAATAAAATATTTTGATAATCTATAATACTCCTCTAAGTAATAAATGAAGATCAATAATATCTTCTCATCTAATCATTAATATAAAATAAGAAGAAAAAATAGATATATAGCCAATCATTTCTATTTTTTGAACTTCTTGTGCTAATAGACTAAGCCAACACACTACTCTGCGCGCTGACAATTGCTATATGAAACATAACAAAAATGTTTGCGAACTCTAAAAGAAGAATTCTAAGGAGCTTAATTGTGATGGGTCCAATTGTAATGTTATATTTTGTGTTAATTTTTTATTTTTTATTTTTTACGTTGCCACATAAATAGAGCTCTCTTTCGAGCTCTATTATTAGGGAATGTTTGATTGATAAGATTAGAGTGTGGGATTGAAATTATTAATCCGTGGGCTCAATCATTCTGTATTTGTTTTAAAGTTTTGTCTCGGAATTATTAATCCAACAAATTTGTAAGATTATTAGTAATGGGATAGGGGTGAGATTATATATCCTGAGCTAGAAATAAAATAAAAAGACTCTTTTACCCTTAACTAAAAATTAAAACACTTATTATTTTTATATAATTTTATATTTTAGAGGGCTAAAAATAATTTTTAAAAATTTAAAAATATTTTTTAATATTTATTTTATCAAATTAGTTTATTTTTTTTAAAGAAAAATTTTTTTTTAAAAAAAAAAAACCAAAATGGCCTTATATTTTGTATTTTTATTTTTCTTTTATTTATTTATTTACAATTTTTTTCAAAACAACGTTTATGAAGAAATTTTGATAAAGTAAAGATTGTGAAGAAATATTAATGGAGGATAAGATTAGAAAAGAAGATAAATATAGTTGTAATTCTACATTTACATGTTTTCTTATCCAATGCAAATCAAACAATGAGTAAGGGATAGTTTATCCTACTAATCTAATTGGATAGTGAATATCACACTAATTTGATGGGATTATTAATGCTTTCACTATTAATCTTGCGAATCAAATATGGCCTTAGAGCTCTATATCATCACTCGAAACATAATAGAGTAATCTAATTTTCAGATGTGTAAGAGGAGCTAATTTGAG